TGCTTCACCTTTCTGGGCCTTAGTTTTCTCTTCTGTAAAATGGGGATTAAGTGAAACAATATATGTATGATGCCCAACACATAGTAAGCACTCAGAGGATAACTCTTAGCAGAGTTCAAAAGATTAAATGTTCACTTGGGACTATGTGTTTAATAATTTAAAGGATTTCTTTATACCTTGTTGCCAGGAAAAGGGCTTAGGTATTACTAAGTATAATTTTTTAAATTTCCTAAATCATATGACTTATGGAAATACATGGGTTTTAGTGCTTGATCAAGAGTCATCTAGGGAACAAATTCCAGGGCCCATCCCAGACCTAATGAATCAAAAATCTCTGGAGCATGGTGTCTAGGATTTTGTTTTTTTTAAATCTCATCTAATTCTGAAGACTGTCCAAGTTTGAGAACCACTGAGGCAGAGCTTATGGGCAAGAGTATACTGAGTGAAACCACTGGCACATTGGGGTGGGGGATATTACAAGTAAGATTATAGATGAGTTCATGTGTGTGAAGCTTTGTTAACTATAAAACACTATAAATGGCAGGTACTGCTATCCAAAGAAGCATAATCATGGATTGCTGGTGCTGGAAAGGTCTTAAATTGAGGTCCAGTGAGGTTGATGTAACGTGTTTCAAAGTTAGGCAGCAAAGCAGCCAAACATGTATGATGTTATATACGTGGCAAATGGGTGTTAGAAATGTAAAATGTATGGAGCTTTGGGGGAGGGAAGACTGGGGCTGGGGAGGTCAGGAAAGACTTCATAGGGAAGTAAGAAATGAGCTGGGTCCTGAAGGATGGTTAAGGTTCAAATTAGTCATCCAGGGGGCAAGGGGACCGAGCAGAAATGCAGACCGAGGAATGCACAAGGCAAATTTTCAAGGGTGTGAGTCAGAGCCGTGAGGCTGAGCAGAAGACTCATGCAGAGGAGTGGTAGGGGAAAGAATGGTGGCTGGAGAAAACCTGCCAAGTACCTTGAGTCCTAAGCTGAAGAACTGAGACTATCTTGTAAGCACAAGGGATCCAAAGGTTTCTAAGTAATATATGAATAGTTGGAAGATGAGAGTCTAATAGCAGGAGGCTACTGGAATGTTCTAGGATGAAGCAATAGAAGTCTGAACAAGTGGGACTGAACAGTGGGAATGGAGAAAACCAGATGCTGTACAAAGAACTGGATCGTTCTTGGGATCTCTGTGGGGATCAAAGGAGAGAGAGGAACAAACCATTGTGAGCTAGGGGAGGGGTGTGGGGCAGGGATTGGGATTATGATCACACCACTGACAGAAAGAACAGGCGGTTGGTTTGGGGTAGATGGTGGCATTGTTACAGCACTCCATAGGGAAACATTAAATGCAACTCACCTTCATGTCCTCAAAATCCGTTATCCCCATCTGAGGGAGGTTTGCGCAGTTTACATGAATGAGTTTTCGGCCACTGATGAAGTTGGTGGTAAAACACTCCTGTTAGTACAACAAGAACACCACTCAAATGATTTATGGCAAATAGCAGGAAGAAAAGAAAGAAAAGAAAGGAGGAAAGAAAGAAAGGAGGGAGGGTGGGAAGGAGAAGAAAGAACTGGGGGAAGAGAAGGAACGGAGAGACAAATCATGTTTGTTTCTGGTTCAATACAGAGAAAAAATTTTAATTAAATTTTAAATCAAATTTAAATTTAATAATAATCCTATTAATCCCACATACTTTCCACCTGAGCTCTTGGTTACATTTCATACTGCTCCTTAATATATTTTTTTTTTTTGGCACAACTAGCGCTTCTTTCACACCTCAATTACATTTCTGAGTACCAGGGTGCAAAAGACTTCAGATCTTGTGTAATTTTGTGGCCGTCTAAGAACATAGTTGGCATCAATGAAAGAAGATTCACTCTTACCTTTTTTTTCCAGCTTCTTCGCTTTTCAAAAATTTTATTATTTTTTTATTGAAGTATAGTTGGCATTAACTCTATCTTTTTAATAGAACTACACTTGGTGAACTATTTACATTAATACTGTTAGGTGCTCATGATACATGTGACATATTTGGGACACTTAAGATCAGTAGTACAACTTAAAGGAGCTGACACTAAACTTGACAAAGTACCAAAAGTCTACCTTGGACAAAAACTGTCAGAAAAATACTTACCTATGAAAAGAGGCCTATACAATTTTTTTAGTCTTTATTCAAGAATTGCAAAGAAGTATGCTTACTGTGATAAATAGGGAAACAAATGTGACCCTCCCTTCCTCTATCAAAATACGAAATACATCAGTGGAAAAGCCAAAATTAAAATCCAGGTTGCCTCTACCATAGTCCAGGACTTTTCTATGCTCCTTCTAGGGAAGAAGGGGCATGAGCTCAGGAAAGGGTAAGAGGAATAAGAGGTAGGATGAGAGCATGTGATCTTTATTTATTTATTTTTTTTTAAATTTTTTTTAAATTTATTATTTCTAGGAGAGAGAGAGAGAGACAGCGTGAGCAGGGGAGGGTCAGAGAGAGAGGGAGTCACAGACTGAAACAGGCTCCAGGCTCCGAGCTGGCAGTCAGCACAGAGCCCGATGCGGGGCTTGAACCCACGAACGTGAGATCATGACCTAAGCGAAAGTCGGACGCTTAACCGACTAAGCCACCCAGGCGCCCCGAGAGCATGTGATCTTTAAAAATGTTACTTCTGTATACCTTGTATTGAGGAAAGCCTAGCTTGCCAATCCACTCTGCAACTTTCTCTGGGCTCCATTTGAGATACTCAAATTGCAGCTCAATCCTTCCTTTGGGTGGGGTTTCTTCTTCTTCTTTGTGTGCCAGTTCCTTCAACTCTGGAGACAAATCTTCCACAATTTCATCAAAAGACTCTCTTAAATCCCTCTGAGAATCTGAGACATATGAGTAGATGTCACTACTCGTATCAGTAATCTCAAGCAGTTTATCCATTTTGGAGAATTCATAACTTGTACTCATTGAGTCTAATTCACTTATTGTAAGAGACCCAAACATGGAGTCTCTTTGAGCTTTCTTGGTTTCTTTTACTGACCACATTCCTGTTTGATAGTCAGAGTACTCTAGCTGATCCTTGTCGATAGAATGTTTAGATTTGACTGGCTCTGGCCTATCTTCCTTAGAAAATGCTACATATGTCTCTCTTCTTAGTGGTAGTTTGGCTTTATCACGTAACTCTAGATCTTTCTCTGTAGCTTCCTCTGTTTGTGTCTTCTCTTGAACCTCTGGTTGGGTCTTCTGTGGCAGCACCTGACCCGTTTCCTTAGTTGATTTTCTTGATTTTTTCTTTGGAAACTTTGGTTTAGTCTGTTCTGGTGGCTCTAGACCTTTCTCTTCTGTTGACTCTCTTACTGTCTCCTCTGATTTGGGCTTCTCTGGTGGTGCTAGTCCTATCTCCTCAGTTGCTTTCCTCTGCTTATCTTTTTGATCTGATGGTTTAGTGCCCTCTAGTGGTTCTAAAATTTTCTTCACAGTTGATTCTCTCAGTGTCTCTTCTTGAACTTCTGGTTTGGTCTTTCCTGAAGGCTCTAGACCTGTTTCCTTGATTGGTTTTCTTGATTGTTCCTCAGGAAATTCTGATTTGGTCCCTTCTAGTGGCTCTAGAAGTTTCTCCTCAGTTGATTTCCTTTGTGTCTCTTCACTAGACTTAGTTGGTTTCTGGTCTAGAAACTTTAATTCAGTCCACTGAGGTGGCTCTGTCTGTTTCTCCTCAATTGATTTTCTTTGATCCTCCTCTGCAATCTCTGTTTTAGTCTCTTCTGGGGGCTCTGGACCTGCCTCCTCAGTAGACTTTCTTGGTTTCTCCTTTGGAAACTCTGGTTTAGTCTGTTCAAGTGGCTCTGTCTCTTTCTCCTCAGTTGACTTTCTTTGTATCTCCTGTGGAAGCTTTGGTTTAGTTTCTTCTGGAGGCTCTAGACCCGACTCTTCAGTTTCTCTTGGTTTCCCTTCTGGAAACTCTGGTTTTTCCTGCTCAGATGGCTCAGTCCTTTTCTCCCTTGATGACTTTCTCTGTGCTTCTTTTGGAATCTCTGGTGTGGTCATTTCTGGCGGCTGCAGATCTGCCTCTTCAATTGATTTTCTTGACTTCTCACTTGGAAATTCAGGTTTGGTCTGCTCTAGAGGTTCTAGACCTGTTTCTTCATGTTGTGCTGTAAGTGAATCCTCCAAAACTTCCAGTTTGGTCTCTTCTTGCAACTCTAACCTAGTCTCACTGATTGAGGCCCCTTTGGTCTCCTTTAGTAGCTCCAGATCTGTTTCCTCAGCTGACTGTATGTGTACGTCCTCTCTAAGATCTAGTTTGGCCTCCTCTGGTGACTCTAAGCCTGGCTCTTCCTTATCATACATAAGGACATCCGAATCTATGAAAAGCTCTTCCATCTCTCTGAGTGTCTCTGACTGTGCCTCCTGGGACATTCCTGGATCAGTCTTGCTAGAAAGGTCTATCTCTGACTCCTTGGGAATCTTTTCCTCAGACATGCTGGTCAGTTTTAAGTGTGGGTGTACGTCCTCTGACGCCCCCTCACCCTCCGGTTCTGGCTGTGCCTCCTGGTCAATCTACAGGTACCACCGGGCCTACCTCTGCCGTGGTGTCAGCTTCGCCATCTTGAGCCAATTTAAGAGACCTGGCCGGTTTGAGGTCTTCATACTCCAGGTCTTCTTCATCCGGGCCTCAATCGTAATACTTTGGGACTTCAGCCATGACGCACATTGGCCGACGCGCCCAGGCCTCCTAGCAACCCCAACTTCCGATAGCGTCTCTATGGATACCATGATTTCCGGTCGGGTCTTCCTGAATCTTCCCAAGGTTTTGTTTGTTTTGTCAAGCCCTGACTAAAAACCTGCGATCGAAAGCACGCAGTCACCCTCCCCACGTCCGCGTCGCCAGCCTCCGCTGCCTAAAGCCCCTGCGGCCGCTCGGGGCCGACGCTCGGCCTCTTCCGGCCCGCGGGCTCCGCTCGGCTCCTCCCGGCGCGCCGCCGCCGCCGCGCTCGCTCGGCCTTCGGCTGTTTCCGGAGCCACTCGCTGCTGGCGGCAGAGGCGCTCTCGGCGCTGGCTGCAGATGTCTGAGCGGCTGGCAGCCGGGGGGCCGGCGGGCCGCCCCGAGGACGGCCCGGGAGTGGAGGGGAGCCAGGCGGCCGCCTCAGGTACGCAAGCCGGGGTCCGGCGGGTGGGTCCGCCCGGCCTCGGGGCCCGGCTCGTCGCGCGAGGCTCGGGCCGCGCCCTGCCCAGCTCTGCCCCGCGCCCCTCGATGGAGCGGACCCGCCCGGGGCAGCCCCCTTCCCGCGCGGAGCCCCCGCCTTCGCTGCCCCCGGGCCGCACAGCCAGCCTCTGGCCCCGCCGCCGCCGCCGCTGTCCGGCCCGGGGCTGCGCTCGAGATTGTTCGCTACTCCTCTTTCGAAATGCTGTGGTTCCTGCCCCGCTTCCTTTCTCCTATCGGCCCAGCTGGCGGTGACGGGTCTGGTCTGCCCCCGGCGCCTCTTGAGCTCGCCCGCTGATCCCTCCGGGTCGCGGACCCCAGCCCCGCTGGCCTCGCTGCTCCTTGCTAGCGGCCCCGCACCCCGCTCCCCATGTCGGTGCGCGCTCTCTGCCCGCGGCCGGCTGGGGAGCCTCGCCTTCCGCGGGCCTGAGCCCCGCTGGGTCCCGGCCCCCGCACGCCGGCCCCCGCGCCTCGCCGCCCGCCCCCTCCGTCCCTCCGGGTGCGGGAGCCGGTAGGCTCCGAAGGTCTTCTGAGTGAACGTCATGGCCGGAGCCAAGGCGGGACATAGGGGCTGACTTAGGGACTCTCTCTGGCGACCTCCCTCATTCGCCACCCTCCTGGTTCGGGCGACGGCCCCCGGTTCTGCCCACGGGAGTTCCTCCGCATGGGTTCGGCGTCCAGGGGCGAAGGGTGCCTCTGGCCCACGTCACCTTTCGTGCCTCCATATGCTCACCGCACAAGGAAACTCAGAGGGTGGGGGGAGACAGCTGGTCTCGCCAAGTGGCAAGTATAAATTAATTTTCCCAGTCTGAAATTAAAATAGGCACCGTAAACTGTAGCGGTAGAGGTGGCGCCCGGGTCAAAGTGTGAATCTTCAGTTTACTGATCAAGTGACCTTGGGCACGTCACTGCGCCCTGTCTCCGTCTCCTCATCTGTCAAATGTGGGTGCTAATAGTACCTGTCTAATAAGACTGCTGGGGGAATTCCATGAGCCACTAAGGGTGAGGCACTGGTGCCCAGCTCCTGGTACATACCGTACTCGTGGTATTCGCCATTAAGAGAATAAGGTGCTGTCACAGGTGTCCCTGGACATGTGTCTTCCAGCACGGTGGTTTTTTTCCTCTGTCCCAAATATCTCCCGTCTTCTAATGCTACTTCAGTCTCTCTCTCTCACCTTGGAATCACCCAGCTTTTCCCTGTGACTTTGTTCTCTTACTTTAAAATATCTAACCATGTTTGTCTCTTTTCCTTCATATGAACTCCTATGCTTTGTGGTATATTCAAAATTGATGACATGTATCTAACATTATAGCAATAAACATTTTAAGCATAATCTCTAAAAGACTCAGCAAATGAACACTCAGAGTCTCATAAACATCTGTCCCTTGCATCTGTCAATATTTATAAGTTGAGGCCTTTTTTTTAACTTCCCCTTTAGCTCCTTGTGTGCTTATGGCAAACAAACCCAATCGTTTTATATAGAAAAGTCTTAAGAATAGGACTGTATTGGAGGATGGTAGCTGTGTCTCTTGAGTGTGTCTCCTCTCCCCCTCACCCCTTTTCACTGGTTCCTGAATTCTCTTTTTGTTTCCAGGACGGGGATAAAAATACTTCTGGTTAGTTTCTTCCTCTTGTACTTAGCAAAGTGAGTGTTGGTTTCTTCTTCTGTCATGTAGGGGTTTGTTACTGTGGCCCAGAGCAATTGTTGCTCTTAAAACAATAGTAATGATAACTTACATTAATTGAATGCTTACTCTGTACCAGAAAGTGGGAAAATATTTACTTGTATTGTCTGATTTAATCCTCTCAAGAGAGTCATTTTCTCCCCATTTTATTCATTTAATTAATTTATTAGAGAGAGGAGTGCTAGCAGGGGAGAGGGGCAGAGGGAGAGAGAGAGCATTTTATAAAAAAATTTTTTTTTAACATTTATTCACTTTTGAGAGACAGAGAATGAGTGGGGAAGGGGCAGAGAGAGAGGGAGACACAGAATCCAAAACAGGCTCCAGGCTCTGAGCTAGCTGTCAGCACAGAGCCCAATGTGGGGCTCGAACCCACAAACTGAGATCATGACCTGAGCTGAAGTCGGATGCTTAAACCGACTGAGCCACCCAGGCGCCCCAGACAGCATTTTAAGCAGACTCCATGTTCAGCCCGAGTCCGACGCAGCGTTCAGTCCCACAACCTGAGCAGAAATCAAGCATCGGATGCACAGCTGCCTGAGCCACCCATTTTATAGAGGACCAAACTATGGCTGAGAGAGGTTAAGGTATCTGTCCACGTTACTGTGGAGATTTTACTGTCCGTGTGAAATTGTCACCTTGTTGTGATGAAGTGTGCAATCATTTGTTTACATTGGCTGTTGACCCCAGTATTGGTCTTCCAGGGCAGATTATGGTCTTTGCCTTCAAAGTGTTTTTAGTTTGGTAGGACGAGAGTACCGCTGGGACAAACAGCAGCAATTCAAAACTTATAGTTGAGTGTGATATTACAGTTCTTTACGTCCTTAGCCCAAGAAACCTGCTTGGGGGGCGGGGAGGGAAGGAACCTGCCTTGTCTCCTTACCTCCTAGAGCCGTTGTTGTGTCCTATAGGATCTACAAATACTTGTTAGATTGTGAGAGAAGGTCTCAGCACAGAGATTTGGAGGAGCACCAAATGCATATGAAGAATTAGGGTTGAGATATTCAAGACTGTTCCTTGGGTTGAAGCAGTGGTTCTCTGGGCGCCTGGGTGACTCAGTTGCTTAATTGTCACACTTTGCTCAGGTCACGACATCGGGGTCTGAGAATTCTGTGCTGACAGCCTCAGAGCCTGGAGCCTGCTTCAGATTGTGTCTCCCTCTCTCTGCCCCTCCCCCACTCGTGCTTCCCCTCCCCCCCAAAATAAATAAACATTAAAACAAAACAAAACCAGTGGTTCTCAACCAGGACCGATTTTGCCTGGGGGTGCTCAGGGTGTGTTCTGGTTGTCACTGCTGGGGTTGGGGGGCGGTGGGCAGGCTGTGACTGATACTAGGGGGTAGAGGCCAGGGAGGCCGCTAAAGCCCCTGCAGTGCACGGGAGCCCCCACCACGAAGAATTATCTGGCCCCAAATGTCAGCAGTGCTGCTATGAGAAACCTTGAGTTAGCACGAAGCTGGATTTCCAAACCAGTGTGGAACTCACGTATCTGGTTTGGCTCAGAGTTGTATAACCTGGGGAGTAAACTTAAAAAACGCTTCAAATTGAGAGTTTGATTGGATCCTTCTGCCACCTTCCTCTGGAAGATGATCCAGTTAGTAAGCAGTAGAGATCTAAGAAAGAATGAAATCGAAAGAGATTTCTGCCATCCTCTCTTCGAGGGAAAACAGCAATAAGAAATGAGTCTGGACATCCAGTTGTTATTGAATTAAAGGTTCTGATTTTTTTTTTTTAATGTTTTATTTATTTCTAGGAGAGGGAGAGAGAGACAGCATGAACAGGGGAGGGTCAGAGAGAGAGGGAGATACAGACTCTGAAACAGGCTCCAGGCTCTGAGCTGGCAGTCAGCACAGAGCCCGACGCGGGGCTCGAACCCACGAACCGCGAGATCATGACCTAAGCGAAAGTCGGACGCTTAACCGACTAAGCCACCCAGGCGCCCCAAGGTTCTGATTTTTTTAAAAAGCAAAGGTTTTGATTTTTTGGTGTATCTTATTCCTTGAAAGCAGGAACCTACAGTTATCCAGAGTAATTATAGCTTGTTTTTTTAATAATATTCTCTGCAGAGAGTACCTTTTGAGTGTCTTCATGTTTGTTAGCTGAAGTTTTAGTGATGAAGGAAGAAAACTTTATTTTTTTCTGAACTCAGCTCTACAGTAGCCACAGTGTTCTTACTGTTTTGTGAACTGTAATTGTTTTTATTAATCTTTTATTTGGGCCACCTGGGTCCTTTAGTCCCCAAGAGGAAAGAGCTGGCGCTCTTTCTATAGTGAAACTCTCTGAGGCATACATATTGCATCACTTGGGAACAGGATTTTTTTTTTTTTTTTGAGCTTATCGAGCTTTGTGGAAAATAAAGGGCAAAATCTATTATGACCTTGAAGTCAGCACCAGTACTTGGTTTGGTGTATATGACCCTGAGAGCTATCAAGGCACTTAGAGATGCTAAGGACTGGAAACAGGTCATGTGAACTTGTTCATGATTCTTAGGTAGGTCTTTGAGCGGTGCAGTAAGTCTTTCAGCAAGGGTGGAAATGTTGCATATGTGGCTATTTCAGTTTATATTGGAATTTGAAAAATTGTGGCTACCAGATTGGATGGGGCAAAAGAGTGGAAATTTATGCCAAAAAGCCTTTATGGCTTTTTAGTTTTCTTTTGCAGTTATATATATATACGTACATATATATATATAAGTCAAAATGGTATAAATTTGTCTGCCTGCGGTAATTTGTTTTCTGATAACAGTTGTGCTTTTGTGTTGAGATAGCCAATTAGCCCTGTCATAATTCAGTCCATAACAGCATAACCCAAAGTTTGTAATATGAATGACCACGTAAGAGCTCATAAGGACTGACAAGAAATTGGGCCACCTGGTCTCTGGATTTGGTTGGAATATAAACTCAGCTAGTTTCTTTTTATTTAAGCCTCTTGAGTCTTTAACCACATAACCTGCTTTTGGTTCCTCTGCCCTTGAATCTAAAAGGGCAGGCTAATTATCCCTTTGCAGCCTGTTTAGTGAAGGGGAAGTCCTATGAGACCTGTTCTAGAGAACTCCGACCTGATATTCAAATGCTTGAGAAAAAACCTTTTTTTGGTTCTCTTTGTAGAGAAAGTACAAAGTACACAATAAATTTAAATCTGAAGCATGATCAGCATGTTTGAAAGCATATTCTGGTAACACATGAAGAAAATTATTATTTTAAATATTGTCAAATATAAAATAAATCATTATAGGAAAGTTTCTTTTTTTTCCTCTTTACCTTGC